CCCCAAAACCCCAAAACCCCAAAACCCCAAAACCCCAAAACCCCAAAACCCCATATAGGTAGAGGATAATTGGATAGGAAAATTAAAAATTAAGAATATACTTAGGGAAAATGGATCCTCATTCTCAGCAAGCAAGTTTGATGTTAAATCAATTGGATGTGTTTGTTATTGATCAACTAGTCTCGAATTATTGATGTCATGGACTACTTGATTCTTTAAATCAGCCAGTTCAGATAGCAAGCACAAAAAGATCTTTTATTGATATTCGCGACAAACTAAACTATTTACAAGGTAAGCAATCAAAGTTTACGATATTCTTAACATCTTGCTAATATTATCTAGCAAATACTAATACAACATCTCAGAACAAGCCTCACTATGTCGAAGAGCTGAAAGAGTCCTCAGCTACAGACCACAGCTGCAAAATTCACTATGAGACTTACAAACAAATCAAAGAAAGCTGTGCCAAAGGTGAAACTGAAGTCTCTAAATCTCAGATTTACGAGAACTTGCTCAAGCCTTTTAAGCATGAGACTAAGGTGATGACCACTCCAGTGACAGGCAAAGAAACCTTTGTGTATATCTGCAAGTATGATGGATGCGACAAAGAGTACACTAAAGTCTGGAACTTGCTTGATCACGTGAGAATGCATGAAGGCATCAAGCCCTTCAAATGCTCCGTCTGAAGCAAATCCTTCACACAGAAAGGCAACTTGAAGAAGCATATGAAGCAGCATGAGTTCACGACTCTGAGCGCCAGAAGGAAGTTCAAGTGAAGAGTCTGCAATAAGAAGTACACTGAAATGTATAATCTCAAGGTGAGTGTCTTCATTCGGTTGTTAGACATCCTAAAAGCTATTATTGGATTTAGGAAAATTCTTCTAATCGCATTTTCTCATGAATATAGGCACATATGAAGTCCCACACATAGACACGCAAACAAGGTGAATCTTTGAGACAAGGGCTGAGCTGAGAGCAAGAAATAAACTAAATAACTTCATCTCTAAATAATTCAAAAACTTCGTGTCTAAGCTTGATGGGGCATGCTTTCTCCTTCTCAAATATTTTGGGAATCTTCTTTTGCGGGTTTATAAAATATTCAAACTCAGATGAGGAAGACTTCGAATATGGTATTTAACAGGAATCATATGCAAATCCTAGTTCTTGGACCAAGTCCGGTCTAGGACTTTCAGAGATGGTCCTGAGAGTCCCGCCCAAACACCAGATGTGTATCCTTACAAGTTAATACGATAAAGTATTATCATAATTCTTAGCATATTTTCAATATGGCAGGTTGACTTTAAAATTTTGTGAGCAAGCTAATTCTGCTTTCTTTGGAGCTGTAAAATCTTCATTAGCCAGGTAAGAAAGCAGATACCTTCTCTTTGAATACCTCTTGGCTGGAAGGAAGAATTATAATTACTTTCCTTCCATCCCAAACTTTGAGAAAAAGAGCAAGTTGTTAGCCGAGGGCTAGTTGTCAACGTAATTATAGAGAAAATAATAGATTTTCATTATTTTATGAGCAATTTCACCTTCAGGCTCTTCAGAGATACAGGAGGGTCTTGGAATCTTCTACCATTACATCTTCTTATTAGGAATTGGTTAACTCTTTCAAATGTCTGACAATTATTCAGGCTTAATTACTACAAATAGAGAAGAACAAATTTGTCTCAATTCTCTATGAAATCAGTTTGAAAAGCTTGTGAATGATTTTAAGAAATCTTTAAAAGCCCTTGGGATGCTTAAAATAAACCATTAAAATAACTCTAAAATCTATTATTATTCATGAGAATTTAAGTAAGAACAAAGCAGCCCTTTTCAGAATTTTCCAACAAAAAAATTCATCAAACTTTCATCATATCAACCATATTTCCTTTGTGACTAAATAGAGTTCTCCATGACTAACAATAACAAGTACTCCCTTATTAGACCCTACTGGAGCTCATTTAAAAAAAAATTGTAACTAATTTGGGACAGATTAGATGATTTCACAGGAATTTTAAGGCAAATTTTTTCTAATAGTATCCTTGTGGTCACTTTTATGAGGCGGAGAAGATCAGCAGAGGCGCTGAATGAAGTTTTGAGATAATTATATTTTTAAGATCATTTGTGCTCGTGAAGATGCTTATCCAAGACTTTATGAGTTTTCTGAAGGTTTATCCAACAATAAATTAAATGTAATTATCTGGCACTAAACCGATAAATACTTTAAGCTTAGCACTCTTTTGTCATCGAAGGTTAATTGAATGAAAAATCATGATTTAAATTCGCTTAAAATTTGCAAACGATATGAACTTTTTGAATTACAAAGAATTGTTTAAATACTTTCTCTAAGCTTGATACTCCCACACATACACCTTATACACTCTATGATTGCTTATTTTACGAAATTAACTTTATATGACCTTACAATGCCTCCTACTTAAGTTATAAACAAGAAGAGGAATCTTCATTTATCAATATCTGCAATATTTTTCAATTTAAGAAGGATGCATACACAAAAATTCTTTGGGATATCAGCTTAGTAAATAGTTCTGGTCTATTCACCCTGAATAGGATTTAAGATCTCCTCAATGAGTGTAAGCAACCTATCAGTAATAGCTAAGAATGCTTTTTGATGTATGGAGTTATTGCTCATACCATAATTCGTGCTTCTCGGCTCGTCTTCCAGAATCTTTTCAACAGTAAGGATCGATTAGAGAGTTGTCTGGTTAATATTTATGAATACTTTCTGGCTTTAGAGAGGTAAGAGAATGTCATAGTTTGGGTTAAATAGTACTTTTTAGTCCTTTATATTTCCAAACTCTCTCTTTAAACTCTCAATAGGTTCTTTCGTAGAGCGACACGGTTGAAATGGTGGAAATTAGTTGGAAATTTTATAGCATTTGAAGTGAATTAGGACTAATTATTACTCGAAGGTTTGGGAGAACGAGGTTTTTGAAATTTCTACATTAAGTAATCTAAAACTCCTTCCATTATTGGCTAAGTAAGAACATTATAAACCATGTGTTTCGCCATAACGCTCTAAAAATTTATTTGGGCTTGCCCAAACTAATTCAAAAAGAAGTGTAGGAAAAACAGTTTATTTTAATTAACCATCAAACAAATGGCACTGCAAATCCTGGTGAAAATGCTTCATGCACACGATATGCTTCAGTTAAATTCAGAGTCACTTGAAAATATTCTGCATGAACTCTTTCTTTGCTTCAGAAAGGATACAGCATCTCCGATTGATTGAGTATGGACCTTCTTTCATCCGGAAAAATTGTTAGGTATTAATAAGAATTGGTTGGACATCCAGATTTTATGAAATATTGGCTGGGCTGATACATAGATTTCGGTGAATCGGCGACCTAAAATCCTGAGCTTTATATAAGAGTGATTCGTTACTCAAGTCTCAAAATTCGCGTTCATACTGATGGAGTCTTAATTATTCAACAGGGAGGCATATTCAATGTTATATAGTAACTCTTCAAAAGTTGTCAATTTTTCAATTATAAGCTAAGCCTAGCTCTTTTGAATAAATTATAGTGACGAATAACTAGAGCACTCTAGCTCATGCTGATGAGTAAAGAATCATTTTTGAATGCCTTCAGAGAGACCTAAAAGTTTAAAAACAAACTGGAGTGGGTAGGAGCAAATGCTCAAAGAAAATTTAGTTTTACGTGTAATTCAAGAATCCTGCACTTAACGAAAGCTTTCTGAATTGACCAAAATTAGATATTTAAAATTGTTTCTAAGACTACTTTAGAGCAGTTTGCTATCAATGATTCAGGGCTTAAAATTCTTGTCTTTTCATCATCTTTGATGCTCGTTTCAAGTCAAACAATTTAGTAATATTACCCTCAATATAATTTCAGAGGTCCAGAACAAGTTAAAGGAATCATTAAGAGCTTGAGGCAGCACTAATTGCACGCATTTAGAAGCGTTAATTGGCTCCAAGTCTGGCTGATCTCTTATAAAAAGGGTTTTTAATATAATCAGTTTACAAACATGCCTTATAACAATTTAGTTGATTCATGAATTTATAAAGTGGTAGATGCCAGAGTCTTCAGATGAACGAATCACTTCACTACAATTTCTGGCTTGATGACGCCTATTTCTCCTAAGAAATACAAGGCCTGGAGCTTTCTACCAGGCAAATTATGAAAGAGAACTCAAAATTTTTTGATGTAATTGGCAATTAAACCAACTAAAAACATATTGGCCTATTGTGCTTTTCTGCTGAATCGGAGCATTGAGTTCATTTCCGGACTCTCACAGGGCTAAGACTATCATTTTAGTTGATAAGCGAAGTAATTTTATAACAAATAATAACATTAGCAAGGTGGTAGCCTAACTTACTTTTGGGTTGACCAGCTTCATGATTGGTTTTTAAGTATTAATTCTCAGTTGATGCCGAATGCATTTCACAGCACGAGTCTACACCCTCTTGCACATCAAGGTATGCTTAAAATACCTAGTTATGGCCATATGTTTCATTTTAGAAAATTTCAGAACTAATTGTTACATTAAATTACGGTGTATAGTAGACTTCCAGTCCATGAATCAAAGTTTAGGAGCCAATCGGTTCGACCTCATGAAGACTTGTCAGACATCTGAGCACACCTGATTATCAATTAGAAGGTGCTAAGTAACGAAAGAAGCTCTCTGACTATTTTAGTATAAGCTCTGGAATGTAGGAGCTTTTTGTTCAATTTTTGGCTAGTTTCTTTTGATCTAGAAACTCTTGAGATATTCAGAACATGTTTTAACATAAGTGGAGAGTAATCTCAGAAGAAATCAGCACCACAGAGTCCCTTTAAGTATTATTTTCAGACCGTACTCTAATGAAAATGTTCGATAAAATTCGTTTCTTGCATCTTATCGTGCTGGGATTTCTCTCAGAGAATTTTCTATCTGGCATCTCTGGGTTAGCAATTTGTAAGACAATGCAGATGCTTGACTTCCTAAAACTGTTTAAGTTAGGAATATTGATTTCTCAATGAGAATAATAAAGTTCATGATTCAATCGAGGATTCACTACTTGGGGTTTTGGGGTTTTGGGGTTTTGGGG